GAGCTTCACTGCGGGATATATAAATTTACCTGGTATCCTGGACAAATAACCTACCCTACCAGAGCTAGCGAATCGGTCAGTCTGAGCTTGCTGCTGCTGCTCCACCTGTAATCACATCTGCAGATCGCAGTGCTACAACCGGGATGAGCTTGGCTTTAGCCGTGTGATTTCATATCAGTAGATCAGTATAAAAATAATTTGTTCTGAGTTCACAGTTCTGTGAAATGACAAAACATCAAAATTAGCATTTTGGCTGAAATCCACTGCGTTTCCCATCAAGGCTTACACATCTAAGCAACATCTGAACCAACTGTCCATAATTGCCCCTGGCAGATACTGGAACACTCAGGCCGGCAGTAGATGCAACAGTGAAATCAATGTTTTTAAAAGTGCTCTAAACCACTTCTTTTGACATGCTCAGCCCAGAAGCAAATATGTGTCTATACAATAGCCAATTCCAAAGTTTACTATGCAGTATTTGTTCAGTCTTGCATAGTAATAGCATGGAAAGAGTGACAGCCCAAGTAATCTGTCATTTTAAAATTAAACATTTATTTGGACTGCAATTCCAAATATACTAGCCCTGGAGTTCCTGTCACAACGACTTATGAAGAAGGGAGGTAATACATAAGGCTATGTTAAAAGAAACACATAATCCACACACCAGCAGATATGCACCATACGTCTGTAACGTCTATCTCCCTTTTTTTTTCCAGAGAAAGAACTACCTCTACTTATCCAACGCGGTGTGGTCTTTTCCCTAAATATACAGGTTTATGGAGTTATTTTTCTTAAAAAACACAAAATCTGCCTTCTTAACGATGTTTCCAGACTCACAATTTCAAAATCCCAACAAGACGAGAGCTAGCAACTATCAGGCCAACACCTCCCTGGAAGTTCCCTTCAATGGTTTTCTCACAGCGTTTCAGCAGACGGTCACAAGCACCAAGAGCTTGCAGGCTTCCTGTCTCAGATACCTGCAGGTCACCATTTTTCAAACTTTATCTTACAATCGGTGTGAATACTTTCCCTTTGCACATGGGGATGCAGAGGGGAATCTCCAGGTAGCTCAAGACATCAAAGAGAAGATACAGACAAGGTCCAAAGAACAGACACTTCAGTTCACARAGATTTCCATTTGTAAAAGAATTTCAGAAACACATGATTTTCACTAAGACCATGCCAATACTGTTGATTTTACAAACAAGACACATAGACATCCCAATAGCAGGTACAAGGGGAAAAAAATCAGCTTGAATCATTAGAAAAAGAAAACAAAATAGGAAACAGGAACAGAGGATACCTATTCCAATCCTCTCCTGTAAGCCGACCAGTTCTCAGAAAACAGATCAACCTCTAACAGAATTAAAATCAAAAGGACACTTAAAGGGGGAATGGCTTAAGGGAAGAAAGTAGGCAGATTATTGAGGAAGTAAAAGAAACAAAACAGATGACAAGTCACATTTGGGAAGAGGGTGATTTATTCCAGAAACCCAAAGTTTTCGAGTGAAAACTGAATTCAGGCACTGTAGGAGACAGGCTAGTGAGTAACAGAGGCTGGTGAGAATCCACATAAAGACTTCCCAGCGTAGCACTAGTAGTTTAGTCTCTCCTGATGTTGTAAATTTATTTCTGTCCCAATCCTTACAGCTGTGAACAGCTGTACCTACAAGAACGCAATTCCCCCTKCTCTCCTCTTTCATCCTCCTCTCCCTGGCACCCTTTCCAGAGAAAAGRCTTGGTTTTTGTTTTAAACACGTTATCTCAGTATACAGTCATGTAAGAAAAGAGATCATCAATATTTAAGGCCACTTTAAGAATTCAGTACATTTCAGCACTACCATTTCATACATCTAGTGCAAAGTTAATATTAGCAAATTAAGTAAATGGCCTTTAAGGATTAGCAAACAGATGAGGAAGAGAAATCAGTTCTGCGACATCTCCTTCACAGTAGCTGCCTGCTATTTTGCTTTCCAAGCCCCTTGGCAGTGAAAGCCCCTCTCCTCTCTTGGTATTTTCCTTAAGCATTCTCCACAATCCCTCTAGGTCCCCAGTTCCCAGTCGGTGCAGGGCACCCCATGCCCAGGGCACACAGGCCGTAACGGGGGTCTGCTCGGGAGCGCAGTGAGGGATCGGGAGGATGGAGGCAGTATGGAAKGAGGGACATTTCCCATCTGCCCGCACCGGGTCACAGCGCGCCGATATTCAGAGCTGTGCTTTGAGGACACATCCCCACAAGGAAACTGCAGGCAGGGCAACCAGATTGCGAGTCCTCCGCGGCAGCGGGGAGGTGGAAGGCAGGCTCTGAGCGAGCCCGCACGGGACAACTAAGCCCCCTTCCAACGCCTGCCCTGGGGCGGCAGCGCTGGGCGCCTCCCTTGGGGCGAGCGCCGGAAGGGGCGTCACGTCCTTATAAAACAATCACTCTTAAAACATAAATCGCGATATGACTTTGTTTCTTCACTCAGCGAGGGGTTTGCTGAAGGCAGCCGCGTTCTGAACACGCAGCAGGGCAGGGSCCGCGGGCCGCACTCGCCCCAACGGCCGGTGGCGCCGCGGCCGTTAACGGCCGCAACGGCGAGGAGACTGAGCGGGGGAGCCCGCCGGGGCCCCACTCACTTACTTGTCCGCACCGAAACACTATGAGGGGAGGCGGAGCAGGACGGGGAAACCGCGCTTTTCCTGACAGGGCAATTTCCCGGCGGCGGCGGCTGCCGGGAAGCCCGCGGCCCCGCCGCGCCTGCGCCGCCCGCCCTCGCGCGCGGGCGGGAAGCGAAGGGACGGGACGGGGGGAAGGGGAGAGGCGAGGCGGCCGCGCCGCCCCCGCGCGCCTTTGAAGGCGGCCCGCCCGCGGCCGGCATCTGGTTYGCATTTGGGGGCCCGCCTGTGGAAATGAACTCTCTCTCTCTCTCTCTCCCTTTTTTTTTTTTATTATTTTTTTTTTCAAGGCTCTGCTGTGTGTTACAGGCATCGCTGTCAAGCTGCACTGCCCTGGAAAGCGGGAGCGCGTGCACTGTGCCCTGTCAGGAATTTCAACCGAAAGGCGCAGCTTTGCCTCGGAAGGGGAGTCATATTTCTCCTTTATTTAAAGCCAAAATAAAGCAGACGGGAGCGAGGCAGAGGGGGGTTGGTACATTCTGTGAGAGGGGATGTTGTCGTAACTCTCCACTATAACTGTGTTAGCCTCCCCACAAGACAGCCGAAATTTAGGGATTGGCGGAGGCATTTTGCTTTTAAGCAACGTGAAAAGCCACGCTGGGAGCSGAGGGGAGGGTCAACACGAGGGAAGGAACAGAAAATTGTCCCGAACTGAGGGCGAGCTGGGAGGCGCATCACCCACCTTGACCCACAAACACGTTACGCCTTCCTAAACAAATAAATCAAGCCTGGAAGCGTCAAGATAGATTTTGTGCATGGCACTAAGAGTTTTACCTAAGGAAAAGCGTTAAAATTCCTGGCACAAGGAATAAGCCCAGGGTTAATTAAGGGCTTGTGTATCATCGAGAGGAGCAYGAGCCTCTGTGCAAGGAGCACCGGGAAGCCTCTTGCTCGGGATGCCCATGCGCTTTGCGGAGGAAGAGGGAACCATCCCCGAACTCTCCCCATATCCAAACACTGCAGCAGGAACACTTGTAACGGCCTGCAGCGTTTCCAGAACCTTCCCGTTTTTGGCCCTGGCAGAAGCTCTGCAAGAAACAACCTTGCTCAGGGAAAGATGAGTGTTGTCTCGTGGTCAGAGCGCAGGGTTAGTGGTCAGGAGCTGTGGGTTCTCGTCCAGCTTTGCCACTGAATCATTTTGAAACCTTTGCTAGTCACTTTATATTAGAACCAGTTAGTAATTTTCCGTTTGGAATGATTTTCTGAGAGAAAACAGCTTCTACAAAACTCAAATCTGCATGAAAATCAACCTTCCACTGAGARAGCCTTGGGAAGAGCATTTGACCCACACTGAAATATTTGGGGTTTTCATATACRAGCCCAATTTTCTTGCTTTGAATAGACAAATTTTAAAAAAATGCCACCCTCCTGACTGTGCAAGGTGTCCACACCTCCTGCAGCAAGATGCAGATTTCTGTCTTGCTGGGCAATGGGACCGTGGCCTGAGTCAGACCAGCCCGGGCATGAGGGCACCTGGCCTCGGGGGAAAAACAGTAGYAGAAGGCTACTAGTCTTGTGAAGGAAATGGGTCACTGAGAGTAAGTGTAAAAAGTCCAGAGACACAAACAAACGGTTTCATGCTAGTTCAGTAATCCAAAACAAAGTACAGGGGCTGGGGACATGACCAAAAGTTTTGGTCAATTGAAAAGCAGGAAAGTGAAACCCAGCGAGATGGACCTGAATGTTCCTTCTCAAAGAAAATGTGCCAACCCGTTCATAAATACACTMAGCTTCAGTGTGTAGCTCTTGCTCCTGCCCCCGCAGCTGTCTCCTGTCTTCACTGTTTTGTTGCAGAATCCCATTCTTCTGCTCATTAAAAATTAACTTTGTGATTTCTGCCCTCAATATATTCGTAGCCTAAAAAAAAAAAGYTATAAAAGGCACTTTCTTTTAATACAAATACTACTTGTTCTCTCCCATGGTGTATTTATAGACATCATTTAAATCTTTTCTTAGCCTTTGTTTGGCTAAATTAATCTTGTGAACCATTTACATTTTCTCTCATAACACCAAGTCTTGGATTATCTAATAAAATTTCTACCTGTTTCAGTCAGAATTCATCTTTGTTGAATGTGGGTGATCTTAGCTCAAGATAATGCATGATGTTCTGAAAGATGTCTTGCTGGTACAATGGCAGTAATAATTCCCTACGCACCTTTTTGGTTACAGACAGGGATCAAATTTGCCCTTTTCACAGCTAAATCACATTATTAAGTGCAATTTATCCAGCTGTTTTTACTCACAATATATAGCAAAAAAAATTATTTGCCCATATCTTTTATTATACATTATTATCTTTTGTTATACATTATTGCATTTCATTGTATCTCTTTAGTACTCACGTGTTTTCTTTCCAAAAAGCATGATAAATGCAAATATTTTCAAGAACTGTTCCAGGATCTCCAGTCTCCAGAGTTGAAGTCCTGCAAATGCTGCATTTTTTTGGAAGACTGAAAGTTTCGGTTATCACATATCCTCGTGATCACATTCAGCTTAATTCATTACTCCTTTGAAATATTCTGAAATATGAGGGTTAGGAGGTGTTATAATAGTGCAGAATAATGATGATTAATTCATGTTTCATATCAAGTGCACGAAGAGCAGACGTGTGTGCAGTGCATCTTCTATAATTTCAAAATCTATCTATAAACTTGAAAATATATTGTAGGTGCATGTACCTTAAGTGAAACACAAGCTTGCTTTTCTGTTAGCTGTAGTTTTGCTTCAGCTATTGGTACAAATAACCTTCTTTCCCTTGGTTCTGGACAGACTCTCTTTACACGTAGCCTTTTGTCTTTTCATTACGGAGTAAGTAATGAAAATTCCATTTCAAATGTGCTTTCTGTGAGGCAGGAACATCCTATTTTTTTCATCATTAACAAAAGCCCGTATTTCAAGCTGTAGTTGTACAGCTTCAGGTAGTGTAAATCAGCATTGCTCTGATATGGCCTGTGGTCCTTTCTACCAGTATTGTAGAACAATTTAGTGTTTTTAGATGACAGTTGGCATCTTTGAAATATTCTCTTTTTACAGAACTAGACTAGATGTGACACTTGCTGGAGAAGAATTCCTGCATAAATCTGTCTGAAAAGACTCACTTAATCATATTACTTCACTAGCAGTGGTGACCTTTGGAGGCCAAAGTCCAGACAGGTTGAGAAATGGAACATGAGTACATAAAGGTGACAATTCCATTAACTGTGATCAGAGAGGGAGGTGAATGGTGAGATAAAGATAAATGACTTATTCTGTAAAGAGAAGAAAGTGTGTAAAGGAGAAAGAGAGAATGAAAATTCCCCAGCCTTGGCATGGAACTAAAGATCCAATCCTGATCTGCTGAAATCAATGCTAAAACGTCTGATTCCAGGATCCCAGGCTGTGGCTGAATGTTAGTGTGAACGATCATTTCAACTATCACACGTACACAAATAGTTCCCCCACTAGAAACCTACAGGCAGAATGTCTCGATGAATTGTCATCGTAGCCTTTTCCTCTTTTCCATGTTTCCCACTTCCCTGTCTTGTTAGGAAAACCTCCACCTAAAACCAATACATTTAGCAAAATAAAAAAGGCATATAAGGAAATTATTTTATTATAGAAGTAGATCTGTAAACAAACTAGATCTTTGACATTGAAGAATTCCACTGAGCTATTGATTATTGTGACAGGTGAAGGAAAGAAAGGATTTATAAAGGGTCATGGCAAATATATTTGCTTAGGTGCTTTGTACAATCACTTGAGGTGGCTTCCAATCTTATTTTAAGAAGCGGCATAATATGGGGCTTGGGAATTGAAGCTGGGGAATAATATGGATAAAATGCCTACTGCATCATTAGACCAGAGCTGTTCATGAAAACGGGGAAAAGGGAAGTAAAACCRACTGACTTCTATGTAAAGACAACTAGGGAATTTTGAGTGGAAATCTAAACACTCTGAGGAATGCACCACAGGAAGAAAAGGAAATATCCTTTGGGGATTTTTTTTTAAATAGAGATATTAAGTTACTCCTAGGTAAGCAGCCAAAAAGGGAAATCCCTGTTTTATGCTGCTGTAAATATAGCTAGAAAAATAATTTGGAGCTCATCCATTTGTGACCCAGTGCACAGGTTTTGGGCAGCTCACCTTTGAAGCCTGAAGCCAAAGCCAAAAAAGCAACAACGCTGCAATACCCCAGGCCCCAACAAACTCCCAGAGTGTTGCACAGGGCCTCTTCCTGCCTCTGCTCTTTGCCACGTACCAATGTCCTTTATTCCTGGGGGATTCAGCATTCCCAAAAGGCTGCTCCAGGCTGCATTGCTCTCTTTTCCTAGCACACTCTGTAGGCAGGGTGTTTTCTGACTGCAATACCAACAGTGGAGCATTGCAGAGAGCTTGAGGATTTTTCATTTGAAACCACAGTGCCAAAGCCGTAAGTGAAGTTCAGTGACACCGTGTGATCCTAGTGGGAAAATAGGATGACTTTGTTGCCACACAGTGATACACAGATGGAAAATGTGCATGACTTACCACCTCTATCAACTCCCCTTCTGTGGTGCGAAGGCTGAAAATTCTGGCTTAAAGTCATATTTTCATCAACGTGCTCCCCTCTTGGAAGWCTGCCCAATCTCCACAGCTTGGAAGAAGGAGATCCCCCTGAAAGCACTCAGGAAAGAAGCCCGCTGCTGTATTGAAGCAGAGGCAGCGCTTCATAGTCTTTGCACATGTGTTGCTGTAATCATTTGTGCTGCCAGTGTGAGCATTTGCTCCCCTGAGCAGGAGTGAGTAACTCTGGGGCTCCAGACCTCTCATCGGTAGCACCCATCAAGGAGGTATCCTTATCTGACCCTCCGCACGCTTCAAGAAAGATGTGACTTACGCTGTATTCTCGGTGCGTTCAGCAACCTGATCGCTCACTGACCTGAGCTCTGGTTTAGCAGATCCTGACTGGGAACACACAGTACAGATCCCATGCAATGTCCGCCTATCACTGTGCACGGTAACAATACAAAAATCTTTATTTAGCTTTGATATCGAAGCATTTCACAGAATGTTCAAGGTTGGAAGGGACCTCTAGAGATCATGTAGTCCAACTTTCTAATCCCATTGACTAGATCTAGTCAATCTAGTCCCATTTCCTGGGAATGCTGATTTCCTGGGACTTTCCTCGCTGATGTCAAGGCCAAACACCACCAGCCCTGGTGAGGGTGGCAAGGAGCAGCTGCTCTGCACAGAGCCAGGAGGCGAGAGCAGATCCCAAGCGACAGACAACTCGTGTCCTCACTGGGCAGGAGCAGAGCTGCTGCCCCGCTGACCCTGCCTCCATGCTAATTCGATGGCAAAATCCAGATGTGCAAAACTGTGAAATCACAATCTGCAGAGGAGCTGGAAGAGAATTCCACAAGCCAAGCTGTGAAAATCTGTTGAGCCCTTTAAATTTCACAATATCTTACCTCTCATGAAAAATAAAACAGAGTAGATGCTTTCCTGCAATGTCTTTTCAAACTTTTTCCGTGGAATACGGCTGGCTGTGAAGAAGTAGTTCATGACAGTGGTGACATTATACAGCAATGTCAAAATCCAGTCAGCATGGAGAAGGGCTGACAAAGTCTCTAACACGTTTCAAGCAGCCTGTCCCGCATGTCCCCGTGACTGGGACTCGGTACAAAATGCAGATCGCGCTTTGCCCTCTAAATTCAGCACCTAGTGAACAAGGCAGGAAAGTCAAAAGTACCATAAGCATCTGTTAATCTGTAGAAAATGTAACTGTCTGCTCTCTGTGGGTAAGATTGTTAGCTGAAATCTGTACCACTATAAACAATACACAGCCCTTCTCCTAAAGTCATTGCAAAATGTACAAATGACATTCTAAAGCCAGCTCTATAATCTCTTAAAATCTTAAATTCAACAGGGGCTCAATCAAGTACGTAAAAAGAAGCTTGTAGAGTCATTTAGCCACCTGCAAATCATAGACAAATAAACCAAAGCGCATTAGAAACAGGAATAAAATCATCATATACGTAGCTGGTTCCTATAGCAGTCCCATTTTCATGCTCTGTATACAACCCAAAACAAATTGTCTGTTTATAATTAAAATACGATACTGCTTCCAAAAGTCTTGCTTCTAGGGAGATAATTTTATACCACCGGACAGATTCAGCTCTGGTGTAATATTTCTGATTTTCGTGGAATTACACCACTAAAGAATTTGGCCCCACATCTTACCCACACTGATGCAATTCAGGATTTAAGGGACAGTTATGGGGTTTCCTCCTAACTCAGGCCAAGTTTCTGGAACAAGGAAAAGTCTGTAAAAGAAACAGTTGGAGGGATGTTTTCGTCTGGCATTTAGGAACATTCAGTTGTTGGAAAATGTCACTAAATTTATTTTGTACATCTTGCATCTTAGAACTTCTTGCTTTTTCTCCTTTCTTTAAGATATATTATCAGTAGGTGGTCACAGAAAAACAGGATAATCCCCAGAGAAATGTAATGAAACAATTACAGACAGCTGTGAGTAGAAAGACATTTGTGGATTCAGTAAGTTTGGCTTCATCTTTGTTATTTAAATCTATTTTCCAAATTTAATACATTGCCTGGGCTTGTAATATGAGACTACCAGAATCTCCGACTCTGAGAAAAATAAAGGAGATTAATTCTAGAGTATTTTAAGTAACTTTAAATGTTTGAGGCCTGGCTGGTCTTGCACTTGCGCTTTGCATGACTAGATTGCACTTCACGCTTTGCATGACGGATGGAAATTCCAATACATGCACAATGCTGCAAACTCCTAAATTGTGCAGGATCGGTGGAGGGATGCACATCCAGCCCCTCCTCCCGCATAAACTTGCACTTTCCTAAAAATCAAGCAGCTTCATGGTTATTGTTTGGCGCCCGGGTCACGACCCAGAGCAGGGGCTATGGGAATATTAATTTGGGCTTGGATCAAAAGGAAAGAAGGAATCAACAAAATCAGTGAATTGGTATTTATCCCATCTAGACTGTGGATTTGATATGAAACAGAATATGGAAAACAATGACAAACATCATAGAAATAGCACAGGTACATTTGAAATTTCCTACGTGCATTTTTATACTGACCTGGCAATACATTTTAAAGCAAACACAGCAACTGCTACCAGTAATTTAAAATACATGCATAAATACATGTACAAAAGTTAAGCTGCCTTCTGGCATGCAAGGTAGCTGCCGATTCAGTGGGAAGCAAACTGCCTTAAGCATTCTTTAAAATCACATTCCAGATGCCAACCTTTGGATTTACAGTATTTCTTTCTGAAGCAAAGCTAAGATTATAACACAGTTTTATTGAGCATTTCAATTCACTGACCCTTTCGAGAAACTGAAAGTGAAATAAAGAGCTCAGACAACACAAATCAGGAATACTCTACTTTTTTTTTGCCATTTGTATTAGCCACAGCAAGGAAGTCTTGTTATGAAGTAAGACAAAACTTTGAGGAAGGAAATCAACTGCAACTGATTTTTTAGGGTATTTTCTGCCTGATTATTTTCAATAGCAGAAGTGCACGACTAGTTATGTAACTACCTTCAAAGAAGTGCCAGGATCGTGTCTGTGACTGTGAAATCATTCATGTTGCCAGTGCGAGGATTTGCAGGACCCCACGTTGCTGCTGGGCACACGGGGGCCGCTCAGACGCCCTCAGGCTGGTACCAGTATCTGGGGAGCGAGGCCAGAGTGGTCCACAGCCCTGCAGATGCTCTCATAAATCCACCTTCATACAAATTCAAAACCAGAAAATGATTGCTGGCAGAAAGAGGTTTCAATAGCCAATATCCCTAGCAATAATTATACCCCATGCTCTTTGTGCATTTCTTTTTTAATCTACTGTCTTTTACTGCACTCAGAGAGATGCTTTAGCCCTGCCCACTCTTACTCATGTAAATATTCTGCTACCTTATCTCAAATTCCCCCCAAATCCTTAAACTTACCCCTGAAGAACTGAAGGGAGAGAGGAGAAGCTTTTCTTGAACTAAGCAAGTTTTTCAGATCTTTACCTCATCCTTTTCACCCCACTGCTACGGTCAATCTATCTACCTAGGACCATGCTTTAAGTTAGTCAGCTTTTCTCTCCATACTTAATTGCTTTCTAATCAGCTATCAGCTACAAGTTTCATCCAAAGCTATTTTATCGACCTTTTTTTTCCCCCCCTCTTAAAAATGATGATCCAAAACTGTCTAATTCAGCATTGAACTTTAGAAGAAGGTCAGCTTGAAATGGGACAAAAAATCTGTTATACTTACTTTGTTTTAAAATCCTAGTGAAGGGAAAGAAATCCCAGATATGTCCATGGATGCAAACGTTTATCATCTTTTGAGAAGGTGTATTTTTTAAATTATCTCTGTGGTACTGGTGCCACTGGGTTTCTAAAACTGGCACCAATACCAAAATCTGAATAACTTTGGAATTTGAGCCAAGAATTATATTCCCTTTTAAGAGAAAAGACCTCCAGAATTAAGACTTCAGATGTCTCACCTTGAGCTGGAGAATTATTTTCCAAGCTACTGCCTGTATTGGGCTTAAAACCACGACTGAATGAATACAAAGGAGGAAGCCTAACAGTCAGCAGGTTAAATATATACAGGCTCTTGGGGTTTTGGAACATCAGTCCCTTCACAGCAGAAAATATTTGCAATTTGGTATTGCAAGCATTTCCCTTCCCRCTGGAAGGTTAATTTATCATAGAGCAACGTATTCCTCTGTCCCTCATTGCTTTCAGACAGCCTTGCAATCGTGCAGGGTTGTTGCTGCATTAAGTTGTTCTCAATCAGGAGAGGGTTGAGGTTGTCACCAGTGGTGAGGGCTGTCACTGCAAAACTGCTCTCTCTTCCGTCACGACTATTTATTAAGAGCACCAATGCAGAGATTATGAGCAACGTAAAGGATATCAGTGATAGATTTGGCCTTTTAATCATGGTCTTTTCAAGGTAATCCGTATTTTAGCAGTGGCCTGGCAGTGTTATCTCCATTTGGAGCCCGTTGCCATATTTATTCCATATGACCTTGCAACAGCAACACAGAGCCCTGTGACCCTGAAGGCCGCTGGCCGCAATTCCATCACGTGCAGCTTCCAGCGCTGCATCCCAGGCACTTCCAGCTTGTTTAGACTGCAAAAAAACCCACCTGGGTTCTCCGAGTTGTGTAATGCTGTTCTTACTACACCCACTCAATGTCCTTAATATYGGGCAACAAGAAACTAGGGGACAAAACAAACGATAACTTTGGGTTTCTAGGGTCCCAGCTCTGTGAGGGTATCTGCTCCCTGACGCTGCTTCCCCTCCTGCATTTCAGCTCCGAAGATGGATGTACCTTAACTGCAGTGAGTCATTCACTGAACCTAGGCCAAACTTTGAGGCAAATCTGGGCCAGTTTATCGCCTCAGGAGGAAACCTGCTTTTTGCATGAATTAGATGTGAAAATAAGCAGAGCCTGACTGACATCTTCTCTGAATTCCAACCGTGAGGGTAAAAGCCAGCGGGCAGGAGCCTCAGGCATGACAAAAATGAGGAGGGGAAAATGAGGCTTCCTGTCTCCCATCCGAGAGCTGGAGACACATGTTGCTTAGAACTTAGGGTAAATTGTTAATTATTTATACATTAATTAACGCAAGTTTACAGAATGTCTTACATATGTAAATTGCTGGGAATATGCTTACATTTTTCCTGCAGTCTCCAATTAAAACAATTTTCATTTTAAAGCAAAACCATTCCCTACCAACTTGCTACACCAGTTCTTTAGCCAGGCTCTTCTTACTGCTTTTTAGCCGACAGTCCTAGCTCAAACTGCACTATTGTATTTGCCTACCAAAATTTCTGGTCTGGTTTGTAGTTGTTTTAATTCCATCACAGCTCACATTCTGTCTAACGATAATTTGATTTTGCGTTGCAAGACCCAGTTGTACATTAGGAGGTCACGGCCTTTCCATTTATCTCTTAAAGTAACTATTTTTTCCCCAAGTTCCATCAGGTTAAAACAGTTAGCAATTTTTCTCCTTGAAGTGTCCCTTCAGCTTGGCCAAGATATATAATAGATCAGTGTAGCTACGAATGCATTACAACATTAGTCATCAATTAGTTTTAAACCATCGCTGCAATATATCATCTATCTAGCTTGCTGTAGCACTATTGTGAACATTTAATTTTTTAAAGGCATCTTGATTTTTTAACCTGACGGCTGCATCCCTCTTTTGTCTCCTACACAGACATCTCCTTAAGGAACAATAAAAATTAGATTTGTTTGACCTGCACTCAGGGTTCGTTTAAGCGAGATGGATTTTAATTGCTCTGCCTAGTCCACCAGACAGCTTTTATGTAATATTCCAGACATTTACGCACTGTCTTTTTCCCCTGCTGTAAGCAGGTGTGTGTGCCCACAAATGCCTGTAAAGCAGCTCTTAGGATTCATTTCACATCTCTGATAATCCTCTGGGAAGCTGCTTGCTCTGAGATGCCACTGGCATTGAATTAAGGGCTCAAGTCATTGCCACTTTTCTCCTAACATTGTTTTATTGTCTTTTAAGATTTAACTTTTACGTGGCTAGTTCCAGAAGGGCATTGCTAAAGTGTGTTGTCGTTACAGGATGCTAAAGGCTCCCCTCTGCATTTCCTGACAGTCTACAGAGCCTCACCTGCCTCCTATCCCTCCCGAAACTCCTACCATTTTCAATACATTTGACTTAGATTTATGATTTGAAGAGGTTTTGAGCATAAGATAACAAGACCGAGGCAAGTGTCTCTATGCCACAGACACTGAGTATCTTGAAGGATCCAATTTCAATTAATAAATCACACGACCAAATTGTCTCAGCACTGAGCTGGGGCCTTAGACACCCTGACTTCTCTGCCAGCTCCAAGTGGAGGCAAAATGAGCTCACGTTTGCCCATGATGAACCTTATTTGCTCCAGCTGCTCTGGTGGGGAGAGGAGAACCTCATGTGGAGCATTCGGTCCCTGCTGACTTTTTTTCTTCCACGGGTGATACAATCTGGAGATGAGGTCCTCCATCTTTTCTCTCCTTCCCATTCCTAAAAAGGAAGATTTGGCCATCCCGTGAGTTACCAATCAGCACAAAAAAATGGGCCTCCTAAGCGGTTATTTGTTCCTACAGCTGGTTCTGGTCTACTCTCTGTTGGACACACACATGTACTTAATTCCCATTTGTGCTGGATGCCTATTAAAAGAACAAATCTGCAAGTGAGGAGGGTCTCTCCTACCATGTCAATGGAAGTGAAATACGTAAATCTCCTGCATGCTGAGAGAGAATGTATGCTTAAAATGCTTGGGAGAACAGCTGTGAAAAAGAATAAATGGTTTGTGTTATGCTGCAAAGTGTCACTGATCCAACATGTTAAACTGATCCTCATGTAGTACATTGTGCTTGCTCTGTGCTTGCATTATACTGCCTACTACTTCCATGTGTGAGTAATTCAGAATGCATTGCATTTCAAACAGTGCAGAAAGAGGCACCAACCTGGCTTCTTTCACATAACCAGTGTGGTTCACAGCAGCAAGGAACGACTGGATTGGGAAGGACATTTCCAGACAGGGATCCTATGCAGTGGGTCGRGATGATGTCCATGGAGAGCCACAGAAAGAGCCCTGGAGGACTGGAGGGAGCAGCCTGGCCTCTGTCTGCAGAGCCATGTTTGAGACTGGAATAATGGTTTTCAGCACATCTTCTTTTTCTCTCCTTCTTATCCTCCAGGCCTGAACTCCAGTCACTCAGGAGACATGCTGGAGTGGAGACATGATGAGAGGTAAATCACAAACCATGCAGATAATAAAAAAGGTTACGTTTAGGAATGTATATATTAAAACTTTAGAGAAGATTAAGGGATTGTTGTAATTGGTGACTCGTTCCTACAGCTGTTTTACCTATTAGTTCTATATTTTACTGTAGAAAATTACCATCTGTGATCTCCATTTCTGATCCATTCATGCATTTCAGTTCAAAGGAAAATTCACATACAAGTTTATGTAACGGTACTTGCTATTCTTCTTCAAATAATGTTAATTTGGGCTGAACCACCAATTTTACATGCTCATTCCAAAGCTGGAGCAGTATGGAGTCTGTTTTGATTCAGCTCCATCTATAATGAATGACTTTTTTTTTTTGGTATCCAGAGCTATTTGCAGTAAAGCAACCTTTTCTCCCCCTCAAAAATGGAAACTACTTCTGGCACTTGGAAAGATCACAATCAACCACTGTGACTCTTAGATGTGGTGAGAAAGCCATCTGATAAAGCTGTTCAGCAGAAGACTGTGAAATGAAGTCCCATTTCCTTTCCCTAAAACTGAGCAGAATCCCACACTTGACCCAAACTCACGTTGTATCTAAAAAGTGCAAGGTGGAATCCACCTGCCCTGTCTCAGCTAATGCCCAAGCCCCGTGACAAACTGCACATGCTGTTTCTCTCTGAACATGACGGAGAAGAAACAGATCGTGTTCGTTAATAATGGTATCAATGGAAGAAACTCAGAGAACCCCAATTTCTCTACACCAAGAGAAATCTTAAAGATTACATCAAATCGAAACTATGAGTAAAGCAATAACATGAAGAGAGGTGATTCAATGCACTTGCTTTGAATATGAACATACAGTTTTTTAATTTCATATTCTGTGTTTTTTTCCTAGGTCTTGTATATCCATCAATAACACATATCAATACCTTTCACTTCTCTGACAAAAGCACCAAAAATTAGAATACTTACTATCAAACAAAATCATAAATAAGAGCAAGCCTTAACATTGAAATACAGATTTCTAAACCTCTGAGGACCAAATAGAGCAGAACTGGAGCATTCAGCAGCTGTAATGTGCCCTGAGAAGTCACATTTGCTCAAGAAAAGTCACTTATACTTTACTTATTACTTAAATTAATTAGAGGTGTCCAGCTAATCCTGAGTCCACTTAAGCCTTGGCAAATCTCTAGCTCAGAGGCTTAACGTAAGTATTAATATAGCTATTCCTTTATATTATTACATTTACATAATCACTCCCACCTTTGCAACCTAATACTTCTTTGGAACGGAGAGAACTATTGACTCATATCTGCACTGGAGTGCCAAAACCTCCCCAATTTAGAGATGTTTGGATCAAGAAAGCTTGGTTCAACCCCATCTGCAAAGTAAAATAAAACAGTGGTCATCACGACATGAGTGACACTTTCAGCATGTCCACAGAGCCAGGCATGAGCTTACATTCTTTCTCCCAGCAAATTTTACAGAATTTGCACATTGAAAAGTACTGAGGTAAACCATGGGGTAAGAGCCAAGTACAAAAAGTGACCCCTCCTTTCAGTAAATTACATATATACACACTGTAGGTTGTACCTACCCTTTTGCAAATTAAACAAGTCTCTGTGAGCCTGTGTTGACAGAAGGGGTGTTTGTGTCATATTCATGCATTTACGTTTTCTTTGCTAGGACTTTGTTGCAGTGAATATGTTGTACAGCATTTCCCTCTCCTCCATTCTCATCAGATACTAGATTAAACAGACTAAAAAAGAAAAGTAATATTAACGGTTTTGGCACATACTGCACTTTCTCATCAGAAATTGTGTCATTTGTACATTGGGTTGGTTTATATTACACAGGTCAGTTTAAGGTCAGCAAGAAGTGCAGGATTAGCATCCTTACAGTCCTTTACTCATAAAACAAGACCAGATCAAGTGATGTTAATTAAAGCTTCATATACAATAGTTCTTCCTCAAATCTGGCTTACTTAGATGACAGTTAAGTTTTCCTAGGCCAACTGAGTGCTTCCACCCTCTGCTTGTGTGGCTAAACAGAATGACCAGTTGGCATCATGATGAAAGGACTGACACTATCAAATTGCTTCTTCAAATATTGCTGAATTTTTCATGGACTGTGTATTTGCAGAAGTCCATGTACCTGTGAAATATCTGAATCACTGTCTTCCATGTGTCAAAATGATGCCATTTCTGAGCTGTTCCATCTTCCTCCCACAGATCTACCACATTTTGGGTAAAATACGTGGCCTAAAAACCCAGATACAGGCTGCAGCTTTCACTGGGTCTTGTTGACTTCRAAAGAACACAGTTCAGCAAACACCACGAGGAAGCCAACAGAACATCTCCAAGGGATCCAGCCTGCACCCTGGCCTTTCAGCCCTTCCAGTGGGGCTGTCTGTTGCAAGCTTTTCCCTATGACCTGGAGAGCCAGTACCATTATCTTTTATTTCCATGAGAACCAGGGCATTATGAAAAATGGCACACAGCAGAGGCTTCTGGATTAAGTCACATAAGAATAAATGTTGTRCATACATCTCCTGAATTTCCAGCTTTGCATTCATCTTCCTACCTGCCACCTACTTGGCACAAGTCATCTACTTGCAAAATTCTTTGGTATCCCACCTTCCAGGCTGCCTGATATCCCCGTGTTCCCCTCAACTTTTCTATGTCTCTCTTAAGGAAGTCTTTCCCCAAACCCGTAGCATTTCAGCTCCACAGTGTTCCACAGTGTCCTTGTGAGCAACTGCAGGATGTGCTACTTTGCATGATCTGTTTGGGTTCTTCCCACCATGTGTTCAGTTCCTCATGTCTCACGTGCAGGGTGAGGGAAATGACAGCAGAAGCAGTGTCTGATGATGCTGAACAGAGGGTCAGAGCTCACTTCCTTCCCCTAAGTCTCTTGCGTTCACCTCTTTGCAAGCAAACTGTTCTTCCAGAAACAAGATCAGAGCAACCCCTCCAAGCAGCTGCTTCTTCTTATCACCAGCAGATTTGCAGAACAGACTTCTGAACCTTTTCCTCTTCTTTTTCCATCTCCTCTAGCTGTTTCCTCTTCTTTCCAAGGCATGTGGGGGAGAAGTCAAGAGGCAGGAGGCAGAAACACGGGGATGTAACTCTAAATGGGGATGTTTCCTGTAACTGAAAGGCTTCCCTCCTCCTAATTCCTTCTAAAATTATACACACAGTGGTGGTTAAGGACAGCCTGGCTGGTGACAGAGTGTAATGAAGGGCAGTGCGGAGGAAATCCCATGTGTTTGCCTCCCAAAGCACTGTGTCCTCTCCTCCTTTTGGCATGGTCAGGCCTGGTCAAAAGTGGCCACCACATGACAAGTGCATTTATCTGAAGAGAGAAAGAAAATGAGGACAAATAAAGCAAGCTGCCAGCTCCCAGTTAGCACAGGAGAGGAGGACATGCTGCTGTCCCCTGTCCAAGCAATGGGCAGAGGCCAGCTTGCTGGCAAAGGGAAGTCCTGCTTCACAATTCCTTCCCCTCTCTGCAGATAGGACATCGGTTTCCTAAACACAAGCCTGACTGCAGGTCCCAGGCACATGCAGATCCTTTCTAATGTGCATCCTACTTTAAAAGAAATGCTTTCTTTTAAGCCACTCCCTCCTGTTACCAATAAAAGAACAGCCTGGTAGCAAATACAGCAAGCTTGTGGTGGGAAACTTATGTAAAGCCGTATCTAATGTTCACGGTTTTCTCCTTCAGTTTACCAAGAATGTAGCTAGAAAGGCCTGAATGCAAAAAAAAAAAAAAAAAAGATTCTTTGAGCACAGCACAGGAACTAGAGAACAAAATTATACTGACTTCAGGGCCTCTTTTTCTGTAAATATAGATTTTCTAGGAAAGAACGTAACAGAGGATGCCTGAAAACTGAATGGGTGTCAGGAAACTCGGAGTCCCAGCTCTACACTACTCATACCCTACTCATAGACCTTGGCTTCTGTTTCCCATCTTCAGACCAAGACAATAGCAATAAAAGACACGAGGAAAGCAGCTGAAAACTTTTACATAATGATTTAGCTCATGTTTGCATCCTTTTTGGTGGGAGAAGCAAGAGATTGTTTTTCAACTCAGAACAGGGAAGTAGAAAGTGGTTAGGAAAATGGGAACAAAAGTTAATTCCTATGGGATTAAATTCAGTTCCATAGGAGAAGTGAGGTGAAAAGCATCTCTAAAAGAGCCTACACATAAAAAGGACTCAGAGTCTAGTGGATGAGGTCAGGGAGTTCATACCACGTAGGCAGATTATGACACAGAGGGACGCATGAAAAAATTGTGGAAGAAGCTGAAAATGGGTGGACTAGGCTGGAAATACTGGTGGAGCTGAAGATGCTGTTGTGACAGATGTACAAATGATAGTGAAGATGACTATGCCTTTGGTTTGCAAGGTGATGAAGCACGAGTTCTGCTGACAAAGAGAGGARCAGCACAGACAATGACTGTTGGATTCTGCTGCTTGAGGGCAAGGTGCACTGGACTGCATCGAAATGAAGGGATGAAGGGCAAGCACTGCCTTGGAAGCAACACAGGCTCCGTGAGCATTATCTGCGGATCTCAGCTGCTTCCAAAGCCAAGTACCARCCTGAAGAAGATATTCCTTCATGACTATGCTTGATATAGCACATCTGCCCACAGGTTTGACCGGTAATTCATTTCAGCAAACAATCAATTCAATAGGGAAAGCCTGGGCACAAAACCTGTGAGTCACCTCACTGTGCAAGTGGTGCTCCAGCCCTAGGTTGAGCCTGTCTCAGGCTCTTACCCTGGCATTTTGCGATGATCTGCCATAGATCAAGTTCTCCATCTGGAATATAAAGTTCTGCCTAATCTGGGACAAATTTGCTGCTTTGGCCTTTAGAACTCACTTTACATGGACAAGCTAGATGAGGTTTCCTAAGCACATCCATGGAGACAGAAATATTGACAGGAATCAATGCAGAGATATGTCACCTTGGCAGATTTAACTTACTCTGTGCCCTTAAGGCTTTGGTAACTTGTAGCCAAAGCTAGATATATGATTTAAAACCTTCAGAAAAGGCAGACTGGAAATGAAGCTAAGGAGGAGCTGGATTTCCACATTCACCAAAGTAGTATAAAAATCACCCATCAGGAGGAAAATACGCGATAGCTGCCTCTGGCATTAAGATTCTTAAGATCATCTCCAGTCACAGGTTACAAGAAAAAGACAAAAACATAAAGAAGAACACATTAATCCAACCACCAGAGATCAACAAGAAAAGCATCTGGTTTAGATATTAATATTGACAAAACTCTGGCTGGCTACCAAATACATCCTTCCCACCCAGAAATGATTTGGACTTGAAGGGAGTATAAACATCCCTTATCATCCTATATCATTAATTACTAATTTCATCTGTTGTCCAAATGCTAGAACATTAACATCTAAATTCAAATGTGATGTGGTAGTAATCATTTGAAAATACACCCTCTGCTCCTCAGCACACTCCTTAGAGTTCACGTGGGGAAAAGCATGACTTGCCATATGGAAAATATCAGTCAAAATGAAGATGAAGTATTTTTATCTTTAGGAGTCTTTCACAGTCTCCCACTGGTGTTTGCCATAGGACAAAACACGTGAGGTTGTTTGAGCACTGTCTAATATCATAGATTGCAGGCTGATGTCCATCCAGTTCTAATGCCGTCTGGTGTAGCCCTTCTTGCTGCAACGCCCACATTTAGCAAACTACGAATTTCAAGGATGATTTTAGTAGAAGTGAGACATTGTAATACTGAAAGAGGACATGTGCCAGAAGATGTTCTATTATCCACATCCTATTAAAGGTCAGCGACAGCCCTTACCTCAGTGCTATAATGTGACCAGAAGCTTAATTGAAAATATACAAAAAGGTTATTAATAAAGAGATAAAGCCATAGCAAATTTAATATAGCTCACAGAAGGACTTTGGCTGGAAAGAGAAGGTTAGATAGATAGATAGATAGATAGACAGACAGACAGACAGACAGACCTTTAATTAAGGTGTATTGCTGGGTTAAGTGTAGATTTTCCAGGCATGCATGAAGACAGAAAACTGGTAATTGCTTCCAAGTTATATTATAAAAATCAGTCATAATCATTTTAATTCCTATGACAGCTTTACTCAATCCTAAGGTTCATTCACTTAATTGGAAGGGAGACTTCTTCAAGTAAAAACACTGGAAACTGAAGAAAGAGGTAGACAAATCGCAAGAAGTGAATGAACAGCACTTTAAATGAAATCATTAAAGCCCTTTGTCCAAGATTCTCAATAGCTTCATGTTTGCTCAATAGTTTCATGTCCTCAGGCCATATTTATTACCAAAGCTGAAGGGGATACAAAATCGTATCAGAAAAAAAATCTCAATAATGATTGAAAAAGTGAGTCTGAAAAATCCTCTTTGTTTCTATTCTATTTTTTCTACATCTCAAAATTAGCATAGACTAGAAACTGAGTCTTCAAATATTTCTCTCACCAAGACATCTTGCAACAATTATGTATGACTTAGCTGAGTATTATAAACATGTATATTAAATTTGTTTCAACCATACTCTTGTTTTTCACTTGCTCACAAAAATAGTTATATGAATGAATGTGTGAAAAAGTGCACTGTTGTTAGGATTCATACAGGTCTCCTTGCATAAATCAGAAAAAGAAAAAAGACTTACTACAGCAGTGAGTCTTCGTGGGTTTGGGAGTTATCAAGTAAGTGATAAGGAAACAGTACTTGGTGACCTAAGTA